CATAAAAAAATTAGCCCTAAATCATCTTCGTCATACTTGACCTCCATGGTCTCCAAGTCAGTTCCTTGAACACCAATAGATAATCTTCCAAAGATCTACCTTTCGTCCAACGATGAGAATACAAGCGCTACTTCAAGTGTAACTTACTAGTCAAGCTATTCGTCATACGTTCTGTTCTAATTTCAACCACAACCCAGTGACACTTTTCTCCTTTATCACATCCTAAAGAATTTGATTAGAAAGATGAAGATATATCTCTGATAGGGCTTTTCGATCTGTGCATTGCTTCTTCTCCATAGCTATTGTTGTGGGCATTCTATTTATTCCCAACAAAGCATCATTAAGATCCGATTGAGCAAAAACTGCTTGTATCTTGATCTGCCACAAAGAGAATCTACTATTGCGATCCAAAAGTGGAATCTTGAATTTCATAGTTGCCATCCATGAAATAATTGACCTTATTTCAACATCGCTTTAATATCCAATTTGGACCTTTCAAGAACTGCTAAAAAATCTTGGCTCTGATACCACTTTGTTGGAAACAACAAAATACCAAAATCGCTCTGATACCACTTGTTGATAACTTGGCCAAATAATAAAGACGAGAATATAAGCAATATGAAAATAATGGATCACACAACAAACAAGATTTTTGTGAAAGGTGAGGAGAATTTATTATACCAAAAAACTAAAATTGTGTTACAAGATTTTATACTCTCAATCTAAATCTAAACAATTTTCTCAAATTTTAAATGTATACAACAATGATCTAATTGTTATTTGAGCCTATATATTCTACACCTTGTGGAGTAGGATAACAACGTGTTAGAAACCAACTGCGAGTGGGATTTTTCCCATACCATTGGCACCGCTGTGTTAGAAGATGTTGAATCTAGCAAGGAATCTTCGACAAACACAGTTTGTAGTGTTGATTCTATTATAGGGTGTGTTTTTGCCCTATTTGGTAATCATTGCTGAATTATTTGTGATTTTGTTGATCCTGGTGATTATTTGAGCAATTTCGGTACCCAGGGCAATTCTGTTGAATAGTGCTTTGATTCAATTGATTGAGTTTCTCCAGTTGGATTTTGTGGAATACGAGGAGAATTTTGTTGAGATTTTTTGGAATGAAAAGTCATTGATTTATTCCTTGTAGTGGAATTTGCCTCCATGTTGTGAATTTTTGAAACTTCGCTCATTGCATTAGAATTTGTGTCAAGATAAAGATTTGTTGAATATGTAACCTAAAAGTTTAAATTTACCGAATAGTTTTAACCTAAATATGTGGAATTAAACAATAAAGAGCAACAAGTCACTATTTATTGGTTTCTAGTTGAATCGGGTTAATTAATTCAATTAAATTAATCATAAGTTTCAATCAAATAAATATTCAAATCAAAGTAATAAAATAAATAACACCAAAAATTGATCACAGAGGAAAGTCCCTAACTGGATAAAAAAACCTCTGACAAATATGCCAATACAATCCACTAGAAAAGTTAACTTATAATTAGTCCAAACACTATTAAACTTTAGCTGACTCATGCCACCTAACTTGTAAATCACAAATAAACTCCTTATGGTTGTGCACACTTGCACTTCTTGGAATTCTGAACTACTTTTCTCTTCACGTTGATCAACAAGAACGAACATTGGTCTCGAGCGTCGGAACTTCAAGTGCCTCTTCCCAAAACTCCTAAATTCTGAAGGCTAATTAGCGAAGGTATGATTTTTTTTTTTTTTTGGTGTTTGATCGAAGGAACTTTTTGTGGTTTGATCTGTAGGCAGCAAGAGATATTGAAATATGTTTTTGGTTTTCAAAGAACAAACTCTTGACTTACAAGAAAGCTCTATTGATTGGATTAATATATATGGGTTGAATAACGAACAAATAATATTGTGGTTGGATCAAGAAATTAATGAAAAAATATTTGGATCTTCAAATAATGATCTCTATAATCAAAATATTATTCAACCACACTTATGGATGTCCCATAGCGTACATATTTAAAATGGGTAGTGTTCGGAATGAAAATGAACTCAAAATTTGCTTGAAAATCGAATTTTACTAGTGCTCGGATAACTGTACCACTCGAGCGACACTTGAGCAGCGGTTAGTATTTTTATCATAATTTTCTCTCACAACATCCAATTAAGACGATTCAAATTGTGTTGGAAAACTAACTCAAATGAATACAATTCTTCTAGATGTAGGATTTTTGGAATTAGAATTTTTTCTATGTGAAAAATGCATCGAAACTTGCAATTGAGAATTTGGAGTAAAATTTGTGCAACACTTTGACACTCCTTCGATTTCTAATTGCATTCCATTTATCATATGTGATATTATTCGACGGCCTTGACTCCTCCAAGGACTACACTACCAATCTCTCCCCCTTTTGTCACGAATAACAAAGGAAAATAAGTAATATAACCTTGAATGACAGGGAGGAATCAGTGAAAAAAATTCCCACGAAAAATTATGCAAAACATGTTATGGAAGAAAATTTTCCTTTTAAGAGATTTTTTTTTTTTACGGATTTTTAAATAAAATATCATGAACACTTATTTGCTTACTTATACAAGTATAATTCATAAAAAGTAAACTTTTCCCTCATAACTTATTTTCAACTTGTGATCGGGAATTTAGAGCAAAATTTGTTCAACACTTTGACACTCATTTAACTTGTAATTGCATTCTATTGGCCATATGTGATCTTCTTGGATATCTTTGATTCCTTCAATGACTATACTATAAACCCCAAACTATTTTTTTTACTATAAGTAAAACTCAAGAACTCATATTTTGATTTGATTACAACTCGATAAAGTCCTAATATAACTTAACTAGAAAATAATTTTAACTGAGAAAATTGCAAATTACAACTTTGGGAATTACTAATTATAAATTTGGACCTAACATAACCCAAATTTCGATGTTGGTTCATGTTTCGGTTAAAAAAGAAGTTAAAGGGGGATCAAAGTTGGTAATTGAAAGTTTGGAGCAGCAACTAGGCTCCAAGAAATGGATTTTGGGATTGAAACTCGGCGCCTGGGCGCCATTGGTAGGGCCGGATTGTCACTTGCTTGGTGTCAGGTTACCGCTCAAGCCCCGGCCTAATTTGGAAAAAAATTGTTTCCATTCTTCTGGTTCATTTTTTATCATCTTTCCATCTAAAATATATTTTTTGGGTCCTATATATACTCTACGAAATTTTTGGCTTTCATATAACTTGTACGAGTTTTAGAAAGTTAAAAACACAATATTCATTGTGTTTTTTTCTCTATATTATATTGAATTCTCAATTCCTCTACCAAATTGTGTTTTTGTGATGTAATTGCTACTTCATATTGTATCGTATAATCTCGTCATTAATTCCTAACGCATAGGATGGTTGTTAACTAAAATCACGAAAGTATTCAATATCATAAACAAGTAATAAAAAGTGAATAAAAGATAATTCCCACGAGAACTGTGTATTCAATTATATTTTGATTAATATTGATTTAAGGGAAATAGCACAATTTTAAGGAGATTGGGGAAACGTAAAGCTAATTCAATAGCTAACTAAATATAGAACTTTTAACTATCAAACTTCGATGAAAACTCAATTAATTAACTCCACTAGAACCTCAAATTCCCCATATTCCTCTACTAAAATATCAACTCAAGTAATTGGTAATACTTATTTAAACTTTACTGTTAATGGTTTCTTATTTATTAATAATCTCTCTAGTAATATTTAAGTCCTTCTCATATATGACCTTATTATATTTTTATGAAGGATTAGAATATATGAAAATGAATTAAATTTCAAGAACATTTATGATGAGATATGCAAAGCATAATGATATATCTCTATCTACTATCGAACTTTACAATGTACAATACTTCCTATTCCTTCTCTTGAACATAATAAAAATCACAACTCTTTTAAAATTGTTGATCAAGTAATTGAAAGCATTAATAATCCAACAACCGTTCAAGCCAAATAAGTATTTGACATCAAGTTCTTGAAATTAATATTAAAATTTTAAAATATAGGGTTGGCAAAAACAATGCTGCCAATAAAAATACACAAAAAAGATGCTAATTGCAAATCATGGACCAGTAATTCTCAATCCATTTTCATTCTTTTTGCACTTTGAACATCTGGGATGTAACTGACTCTCTGCTTGGATGATGATGCATCATGCAGAAATGCACACTTTTACTCCATTCCTGTAACCCATTGGACTCTTGAAGAAGATGCAAGACCACATCTTTGATTTCTCGTCTCTCGATTTCGTAGTATGTTGTAGGTTCTTCAATTGTCTGACTACCAAAATGGGGTAAAGTTTCTTATCTTTCTCCTCCATGCTGCTGATCAGGCTCTTGTCATAGTTTACACCCTTTGTTATAGGAGCTCCAAGGGATGGAGAGGGTGCACCTGATAAAACATTGGCTACAGATGGACGGGGACTGGAAATGGGTCTCATTAAACTAGGATGATGATAGAAAAGTCAGGTTGGCGTAGCAGAAGATGGATCTCCTTTACTAACAATGATTGGAATCGGATCATATCAATTCTTAGCCTAAGACCTCAAGTTGAGCTACTTGGTGGACCTGTTGCTGGCAAACTATGCAAGCTGAATGATGACATACTTTGCATAATCAAAGATGGTATATTTTGCAAGCCAATGGCTTGTATGTTCTGCAAGCCGGATGAGGGAATATTCTGCAACCTCGTCTTTAATAGGAATGATCGGAATCAGAGGAATGTTTTGGTCATTCAGAAATTAGTTTTCCGCACTCACTAATGCACAAGGGCTACACAAGGATAAAAGAAAGCGTCTAATTCAAATAACATCAAAAGATAATGAAATAGAAATTTATCGAAAATGATACAAAAATTGTACTTTAGAGGGATAGGAGAAGGAAGTCGATAAATAGCCTCAGGCACTCTCATTTCCCGCTGATTTTGAGCTTCCAATTCTTTGCTTTCTTCCCCAGAAACCACTTACCATGCACCATCTACTACAAACTGTAAAAGAATAGAAGAAAAATGTAGAAAAGTCACGTAATACATAGCTTCAACCAACATACTGTGTGCTCTAATTCTGCAAGGACGATTTACCATCCCACCCACCCCCTTCTTTATAAATAAATTTATTAAAAAAAAAAAAAAGAACTTATTGGGTCCTTTCTCCTTCCTTGGAGTACACAGAAAGTAGTTCGATCTGGAAGATTACAAGTTCCAGAGGATGTGGAAAGCAAGAATCTACATTTAGTGAAGAAGGCTAGGTTTGAACCTTAAATGTCAATTAATAAAATGGTCAAGTTGGAGAATTATATCATATCTTAAAAGTATTTGTCCATTAAGTAGTAATATAAGCTTTTTACCTAATTGGGCAACTAATTTTAGTCAATCAACAGATATTAGTCTATAATCAAGGTATATTACTCCCCAAATGATGAATCACAAAATGCTCGATTGTGTTAGAAGTATTACTTAGTACTCAAACACTTAGAGAAGAAACTAGTTGGCATATCAGACTAACATAAATAGAACTCTTACATTAAGCATGTAAAGTAGCATCTAACTGAAAGAACCTTTAACCTGTCAGCATATCTAAAGCAAACTACTAATAAAAAAAAGTAACTTCATAATTCAGAGAGATTTATATCTTTTGCATTTAAGCAGGTTCAAGTACACCTATCTAGCCCATTTCAACGGACATGTACTAGTCGGACAGATTAGGTTATTAGTCATATAAAACGTACTATTGGAATTGGTATCATTTATCATAGGCTCCAGTTTATCTCCAATCCGAAACGCTATCTATTTGAAAGCAAGCAATAATCTCTACACTGGAACAAGAGAATCAACATAAATGAAAGATGAAGCATAAAAAAAACATAGCAATCATATCATTCATCTCAATCTTTAAAAAACAATAAACTAAATATAATTTTAGCAAAAGTCACCTAGTCTTGTCTTGATGCAACCGCAAAAGCTGCCTTGACTGATCGTAACTAGCTTGTAAAACTTTCAAGAGATTAAAAAAGGTCAATAAACTCACCGTGAACCACAAAGCAGAATCCACCCTTCTCTGGCTTGCAGAATATGCCCTCTAGTATGCAGAGTATGTCATCATTCAGCTTGCATAGTTTGCCATCAACCGGTCCACCAAGTAGCCCAACTTGAGGTCTTAGGCTAAGAATTTATATGATCCGCTTCCAATCATCGTCAATAAAAGAGATCTACCTTCTGCTACACCAACCCGACCTATCTATCAACCTTCAAATATCACTTACATGTTCCCAGTCCTCAGCCGTCTGTAGCCAATGTTTTATCGAGCACACCCTCTCCATCCCTTGGAGCTCCTATAAAAAAGGACATAAACTATTACAAGAGCTTGATACAGCAACAATGAGGAGAAAGACAAGAAACTTATATGTACCATATGTTTAAGATTGAATACTCATACTTCTTTTGCAGAACAAAAAAACTAATGCTCTCTTTCCTAGAGTATTTATTCTCAAACACCACCTCAAAAGCACGTGTGATTGACAAGGCTTCCTGACAAATAGTTTTAAGGAAAACAAAAGTAATTTCGAATACCAAATTCTTTGACTTCGACCTCAAATTAATGTGATAGCATCCATAAACAAGTGCATAGATTGGAGGTCGTGGATTACTCCTTTGTTTGAGGTGTAATAATACAAAGAAACTAGCAGCTATTCTTCCTTATTTGATGTAATAATGACTCCTCATATACTAATGTGCTCATCAATTGCCAGTGACCACAAGGTACTCCGAAAGAGACCCTCTTTGTTCATCAATCTCTAAATTAATTTTCTACTTCATACTCCATGTCTGCACTACAAAGATCTATCTTGGAAAAAAAGAATTAGGCCATGAGTAAGTTAGAACACTACCTGTTAGACAAATTGTCTCAATGAAAAACCAAACCCACCAAAAATTCAGTCAATCACGCCATATAGACAATTATTTTTTATTAAATTGTTCAGAAATTGCTATAATTTGAAGCACAACAAGAATAAAGATGAAACACTAGACCTCAAAATAGTACACAGACCACATGTTCGACTAATTATCTCTACCATAAAAGAAAAAGCCAACAAAAACTAATCACCACCCAGTTCCACACACGCAATGCAATAACACAAATCCCACAAAAACAGGCCAGTGCTCAACCCATTACCTTAATATCATTGTTCACCAGCTTCCCGAAACATCTGCTCCGTCTCAAGCAGCGAACCTATTTCGAGAATCAAGCTTCGAATTCTCTGTGCGGGGGTAGAGGTGGCATCGAAGGTTTCTTCAACGCCATTGATCCTCGGAGGGTATTCGTTGGCGCGGCGCTCGACCTGGACCTGGCATGATGGATTGGATTCCTTGACCTTGCGAAAATCGCATTGCGCCAAGAACTCCATGGACAAGGCTATGCGTGGGTCGAGTGCATTGAATTCGATCCTCACCTTCGACAAAAACTCCAATACTTTTCTTTCTGTGTTTGACTGTGCATTGCCAAATAAGCCATTCTTAAATTATGACGTGGGAATTAGGCCAAATAGTTTTGTCACAAAATTTATAACTTTAGCCTTTAATAAAAAAAAAAAAAAATTATTATATTACCTGAAATTTAGCCCATGTTTGGTTTAACTAAAAAATAGATTTTTAATAAAACTGATAAAATTTGTGAATTCCATAAAATGTATGGTTGAAAAGAATAATGTTTGTCTAATCCAAAGTGCTACAATACTAGTTTAATTGATGTTAAATAACATTACTCAATTGAAAATAAGTTTGAAAAATGAGAATCGAATAAGAGATTAGTAACTATTTAAAATAGAATCATGCTATATGTAAGATATTGATTGACAACATCCCATTTGATATCATTATATTCATCCATTTTAAAAAGGATCATACCATATGTACCGAATTTTTTTATCGAATCTTTTACCTACTACTTACAATGGAATGGGGATCACATTGTCGAAATTTTTAAACGCACTCGGGTCCCACGCATTATGTGAGAGGGTGTAATCAATTATTCATTATGTAAAAATGGATTAACCATTTTAAAAAACTATTTTCTATATCACATACTTGGATTTTGACAACATATGATTGTCAACCATTGTTGTACGCTTAACTTTATTTCTTAAAATATCCTTGACTATACATCACATGCACAAACTAATCCTTAACTTCACGTCAATGGTCAATTGTCAATATCAATTGTTTTCTTCCATCTATGAGGATTTTCGGCTTATTTGCAAAGGACGTCATTCTTGTGACATTTTCATCGCAACCACCACCACCGTGTACAGTTGCCGTCGATACCTCAAAAAAATTTGTTTTAGTTGGATTCTAAGTTGCAAGAAGAAAATTTTAATGAAATAATCAAATATTTACCTTCACATAAGATTCTTCACCCATTTCAATGCATGAATCAGGATTGTTGTTTGCTATCCTCGTTAATGATGGCTTCATCAATTCTCATTTAATACTATGATTTTTTTTTGAACAAAATACACAGTGAGGTTAATCGTGAATTTTATTTTTATTTTTTTAATGAAAAAACCCTAGTGTGGACAAATAAGTAGAGATAAAATTGTGAAAGAACAAACATTGAAAGAGATAATAAAAAAATTACGAGATATAAGGATTATGCACTTAGCAAGATAAATGCCTACTCGGATGGTAAATGAACACAATGATAATGTTTCATGCCAATTTGATCTTATATATATATATATAACTAAAATCTTTGTATCTGGCAAATGAATCCAATAATTATGGAATATAAGATTAAATGAAATTCCAAAAATTACTTGGGCGTCAAATTTCAGGCAAGTTCATTCAATTTATTTTGTGGAAGTGAAAGGAATTTTTCTATTTTCTTCCGCTTAACACATATAGAATCGCAAAGACGTCAATACTCCAGAAAATCAATTATCGTTCTAAACAACAGGTGCCTGATTCAATTTCACCTAGTCAACATTGAGTTATTTTCAAACTGAGTACTACATGAGTTATTTTTACACTGAGTACTACATTGATATAAACGGATTCCCATCGGCAACCCTATTTGAATGAAAACCTTGACCAAAAAAACCGAAATGATAGGTGTCAAGTGATGTTATCCATGTTCTCCTATTCTTCTCTAACCAAAAGGATTAAGACCCAATGGCATTCCAGATAGCATGAATAATCATGTGAGTTCAAGAGAACAAATTCTTAATTGCTTGTTGTTCACTTAATAAATCTCGTGATGTTTCATCAATTTGATTGATCCACGGTTGTGGAGATCATTATCGACATCGAAATCCCAAAAATTAAATTCCCATATTGTTAGAAAATATGGATCATGGATCACTCATGTGGGGTAACCCGCCACAGGATATCAAAAGAGTTGGAGGGAGTGATTTGAATTTGGAATTCAAATCCACAACTCCACATAACCTCACATAACTCCCTTAAAACCTTCAATTTTTTTGTCTGGCAATGGAGAGAAAAAAGATGGTAGAAAAATGGTAAAAATTCGTAGGGAAAATATCCACAAAATTGAAAGTCACATAGAACCACTATTTTGGCATGAAAACTCACAAAAATTGGCACTTAGGTTGTGGCTAATAATCACATTCCATTGTAATCGGGATTGTGGTAATTAGAGTGAAAGAAAATTGCTAATTTGGAGTTTTGGAAAGTAAGGTAATTCAACAATTCAAAAGATCTAGGAATTCATCATTTCAAGTAAACATATTGACCCAAAATTCATGTTAAAGTATGCTTCAAATTACTTCATTAGTATCAAAGCCATAAGGGTGAATTCCTTACTGTAATACATACTTAAATATGCCATTACATGCAAGGGCGGACGCATAATTTAAAAGTTAGGGGGCACAATCGAACTTACAAAAAAATTGGGAGAAATTTTATAATTGAAAATTTACGTCCAAAAAAATCATACCCCATGTATTTTTGTATCCGAAAATTTACATGGGATATGACTTTTTCAAATGTAAATTTTTGGAAAAAAAATTATGTCACATTTCATATAAAATTTCCTAATAAAACGATGAAAGTTACATTGATAAATTTGTATTGCAAAAATAATAAATGTCAATGAAATAATTGAATTTTTTTAAAAAAGAAAATGCGAGTTAAACGTCTTTCTTTAAAACTCACATTTAACGCATCTTTAACTATTTTCGATATATGTTTGAATTATTTGATATACCTATAATGTAGTTCTCGAAATAAACTTTGAGATGATATAAGCAATTTGTAAATTCGATTAGCGTACGATCGTCGAAATTTTTTTAAAATTAGCATATTATCGAAATTTTCGAAATACTAATTTTGAACGGCTTACTTTGACAAGTCGGAGCATTCGCTACGATTGATCGTTTCATACACCATTAACGACGTAGAAAAGTAGACAATGAACACTTTGAAATGGTATTAAGAATGCAATATTTCGCCCTTATTTGATGGAGATTTAAGATTTTGTTAAAAGGCGGTAGAAAAAGAGAAAAATTAAAATTTATTGCGATTTCGCCCCTATTTGATGGATATTAAAATCAAATTTTTAGTAATTTTCACAAAAGTTAAATAGTTATGGATTCNATAGGGGCACGTGCCCCTCAGGACCCCCCTGGGTCCACCTATGATTACATGATACAGTTGGATTATGAATTTTATATATAAAGTTTTGAAACCTTATGTGGTCTTTAATGAAAACTTTTGATAATTACTTTTTTCTATAAATTAATAATTATGTAGTAGAATTAGTATTGTTAGAATGGTATTTTAATAAGCTTTCCAACCATATAAAGAACTTAAATTTTGGACTTAAAACAAAGAAGTTATGTGAGTTTGAAATTTGAATGTAAATTTGAATTTTCACATGAAGATCAGTAAAATTCGAAACTTTATCACATGTAACTTCTTCTACACTGTGTTTCATGATTCTCGTTTGTATAGTTGGATAGATCTTCTCGAGACCTTTCTAACGTTATAAAAATAATTAATTTTGGCCTTGAAATGAAGAAGTTATGACCCACCGAAATTTGGATGTAAATCTGATTTTTTTTGCAAGAAGATTGGTAAAATTCGAAATTTCATCACATCATAACTTTTTCTACACAGTGTCTTATGCTTCCCATTTGATTGGTTGGATAAATCTTCTCAAGATCTTTTCAATGATATAAAGATCATTAATTTTGGCCTTAAAATGAAAAAATTATGATTTCTCGAGATTTAGTTGAAATTTTGAAAAATTTGCATGATTTTTTTGCCATTTTCACTATTGGGCATATCTTTGATGTCCCAAACGTGGCCGTAAATATTGATTTTGTAAAATTTGACTACACAGATGAAGTCAGAACGTTGAAATTAGGTTGGATGACCAATTAAAAAGTTTTTTCGAAAATGGCATGGTCGTGCTAACGCACCCCATTTTTTTTTATTAATTTAAGAAAATTATTGCAGATTGGTCTTGCATGTGCGGGCAAGTAAGGAACTTGATTTTAAGGAATTTGGCCAGTGGGGAGCTATTTTTTGAAGTGCTCTCATTTTTTTGGAAAATGAAAAATATTCTAAAAATATTTAAAATGCCATGTTTTATATACGTTCATGAGTTGTGTGGGTCTTTGATTACGCTATGTGATTCATTATATGTTATTTCCAATTTTTATGCTTGATCAGCTATTAGTATATCTAAACACACTTATAGCATCCTTAGAGGGAAGGCTAGAAAACAAATGTCATGGAACTTGTTAAAAAACTATGTATTTATTGAAATTAATATATGGATTTGGATCACGACTAGGGATGACAAAAAAATCCGACAAACCCGATACTCGCGAGGCCCCACACCGAATGGGGCGGGGATAACCCTCTTAATCGAGTAACGGGGAGGGGACGAGGCGGGGAATTTTGCCCCGGGTTGGGTTCGGGACGGAGATGGGTAACAGGGCCCCGCCCCGCCCCGTTAAAATTCTTTCTTATTTTTTTATTTTTTTTTCAAAATTCAATACTTTAAATGAAAATTTTCATTAGTTTTAATAGAAAATAGCAACTAAAATTATTTGTCTAAATCTAATGAATATGGGTAATAAAAATAAATTATCAAAAACAAAAAAAAAAAAAAATTAAACGAGGAAAGGACCCACCCTCGCCTCGTCCTCGTCTTAAACGGGTAATGGGGTGGGGACGAGGCGGGGAATTTCTCCCCCACCACCGCCCCGTTGCCATCCCTAATCACGACATAGTGGAACGTGTAAATATTTTTGGGACAATTTTTTTTTTTTTTTTGTAATAAGTAGAATGTGAGAATTCTGATGTCACATTCGATTTGTCAGGATTGTGTTGCCACAGATATTAACGTAAGGTCGAGAGTTTGTATAAAAAAACTTAAATGGTGTGAGTTTTATTCTTCGATTATAATTAAAATTATTTTCTAGAAGAATCAATTTGTGATATCATGGTATATGTCATAATTGGATAAGTGGGCATGTTTATACTTTTATTGCACGTTATGGAATTATCTTATTGAATTACATAATATTTATTAATTTGTGAATTTGTTATGAATGCTAATGTCGGTAGAATAGTGAGATTTTTACTTACACATATTGATTGGCAGTTGAGTGACAGGTCGATGATTAGAAGATTTTTAAAAAAAAATCTTACGTAGAATTATTTGATTTACCAACCGAGTGAGAATTCTCAAACTAAAAGAATTGATATAATTCTCGCTTAGAACTCATGAAATTTTGCGTTATGAAATTAAGTTTATGATAGTGAAATAATAGGATTGCGGACGATGATTGTGAACATAGTGAACTTTCGACTTTGTGTCTAACGTTGAACTATCGTATACGTTAATTTTTGTTAATGAAAAATTGTATATGTACATAAATGGACATTGATTGAGGATAAAATCTCTCTAAAATATGATAGATCACGGCATCAAAATCTATAATTGTTGACCTTAATAAAGGTGACAAGCTAAATGCGATAGCATTTGGCATAATAAGTTTTTCAATTAGAAAAACATGGTATTTTAGATAGCATCAACCATGTAATTGAAGACCCGATGTGGGTTAGACTACTCAAGAGAATAAAAATTAAGAACTTTGTCAAGTACAGAAAAAGTAGATTCTAGTATTTGATCATTTGAATTGTTAAGTTCTGTCATAGATAATCTTTTTTTTTCCTCAAATGTGATTGAGCTGAGATGGTTAGCATAGTGTTAACAATTTTTTTGTGGGTCACAATTTTTTTTGTGAGTAGTAAGCTCAAATTAGTCTCATTTCAATGGATGAGAACTTTGAAAGTCAATGTGACTTACGAATTGAAATGTCAATTTTCTCTATTGACACTACCCATTGTATGAGATAAAAGGCTTGCGACTTGATGTTGCTAAATCTAGAGGACTTGCTTGTGTACCAATGTTCTAGTTCGTAAAAGATTTCGGATCTTAA